CCCCCTCGCGTTGCCTAGCAACGCAGCCGGACCCGGCAGCCGTGGCGCCCCCGGAGCCTCCACAGCGTTTATTGCAGGTAAGTCTTGATTTTAAAACAGTATCTAAAATCTGTACATCGATTGCGAGACACGCGAAGAGGCGAGAGGGGCGGCGGGAGAGGCGCAGGGCCCGGCCCCCCGGCAACCCCTCCCCCTCGGCCTCCCTCCCCCGCCAGGTCCGGCCGTGCCCGCCGAACACCCGGGATGTGTGGCTGGCAGCCCCGGGAGCGATCGCCACAGATGCGTCTTTGACAAGCAGTTAACTTGTTTAGTTGAAGGTCCGACGGGGCAACAGCCTTTAAAATGCTGCTTGTTCCTGCCAAGAGTCTATCCACTACTGACCACCACCTTTGTCATCAACATCCTGAAGGTTTACAAAGTACAAGGTGGACCCCACCAGTCCCCTCTGGTTCGTCACATCCAAGGCTGCCAAGCTCCCTCTCAGCACGAAGGCACCTTGCTGACAGCAGCACGGCAGCTTCTTGGACTATTTCAGCCAGCTCCAGTCAAAACTCTGCAAAAAGAAGCAAGAAAACTACTGAAATTTGGGGCTCTGAGCAACCTGGTCTAGTGGGAGGTGTCCCTGCCCATGCAGGTGGGTTGGAATTAGATGATCTTTAAGGTCCCTCCCAACCTAAACCAGTCTGGGATTCTATGAAGACCAAGAACTGGCTGTTGACCATGGAATTTCCAAGGTGGTGACCAAAGGACACTCAGTATCCAGTATCTCTCATCCTCCTGATCTAACTACATGAAAAGTAATCTTACCACTTCACAACTCAGCTTGCCCTTGACAGAAAATTCCCCAAACTTCCAGCAGTGCTCAGGCACGTTATGGACTGTACTCCATTTTGAAATCCAACTTTGTGCCTGCAAAAGCCTTCCACCAGGGTTCTTAATGCACCACAGGATGTGGTGGTAGTGCAAAAACACAAATCAGAAAGAAAGGCTCCAAGTCAAACGTAAGCAAGAAAAGGTGCTTATTAATTCCATTTCCCCATTCATTGTTCAATCCCCACTAGTAAATTTTGATTTCATCATCCCAAATAACTTAGTAACTCCAGTTCACTCTTTACTAGTACTCACCAACATAGACCATGAAAATGTTTGGGAATTAAAATGTTTATGAATTGCAAGAGCTGTATTTCATCAGTCACCTCAATCTCTCCAACCCTCTCTCTGTTCCATGCTACTTCAGAAGTTACAACTTCTTTAGCCCATGAGAATGAAGGTTATCCCAAAGGAGACCTTTAGGAAGTGTTTTGAAAACCCAAGTTACAGCACATCAGTGGATCTTTCTTCTTTACAGGACTTCAATAAATTTGTGAGACAATCTCATGCCAGCAGAAGCTGCACTGACTCTTCTCCATTACAAACAGGTCCTTTTCTCATTATCTTTATACAGGTGCTTCTATGATACAGCCTCTAAAAGAGGCTCTCGGCTGCTTCTAAAAGCATTCTGTAGTACTCCTAATTCTTCTGGTAACCAGGCTCTTTTGAGCAACTAGTAGAGTCCAGGAACTGAGCTTCAGATTGTGTCAAAACATCTGGGTAATAATTGGGTGACTTGGATCACTTTTTGCCTATTTCAAACACCAACTGAGCAAAGGACTCTCTGAAGCCACACTTCTGCCACAAGGAGAGCTTCTGTTCATGGTCAGGAAAGGGCTGTGGCTGAAGGTCTCAGAGATCAGGTCCTCAGGGGGTATCACCAGACTTACCATCACACTGTTGCTCTGCTCCCGTCTTGCCTCCTGCAAAATACTGCTAAAGAGTTCGAGGTAATACACATTCTCTTCTATCACGTGGACAAAATTGTCCCTGCAGAGAAAGGAAGGCATAAGGTGACAGATTCAGCATGCAAAGTAATACCAACTTCAAAAGGCTCTGCACTGGGGAAAAACAAAAACACACACACAAAAAACCTAACCCACAACAAAACCCAAACATCCCAAAAATCTGATTTATAGGAGTGCTTTACAACTGTAGGAGCTACCGTAGGCCACAAAAATGTGTTGAAGTGGCATCCTGCAGATCTCCACCCTGGAAGTGTGGATTTGCTCTCCTTGCCTCCAGAGGAACTGCTCAAACCATGCTGAAACTCAGCAGAACCTAGGAATAAGCTGAGGGGCCTGACATCACTGCCCACTCCCCACAAAGTTTGAATCTCTTGACTCATTGTACAGTGAAATCATGGTTCCAAGAGGAGCTCTGAGATGATCCAAAGGCACCTTGCTCAGGAAAGCACCTATTAAAGGGTGCTCAGCCCACACTGCTCAGAGGCAAAAATTCTCCTGCAGCAGCAGATGGAAAAGAGGAAGTGGAAAAGGTTGGTCAGGTTACAGATAAATCAACTGACTTCCAGCAAAAGTCTGCTTAGAAGATGTGGATCTTGAGGACTTAGGTCTTCCCCTGACCACCACCCACCAAAAAGGAAGAGATGGCTGAATGGTTTGATGCCCACGTTCACAGCCCCAACAGAAATAACACTGCTGCATATCAAAGGTCTTTCAGTTATGCTGACTGGAAGTAAAATTGCTAATGAAGCAAAGAAAAAAACCTCTTCAGCTCCTGACCCCTTTCTTACCCAGCTGGGAGTGTCCGAGAGAGGGCCCCACGACAGAACAACATGAAATGCAATAAACGAATAGCATTGTGCTAGCTGATGGAGATCATCAACCATAGCTGAGAGTGGCCTGTGGACCAGAGAGTTCAACCTAATTCCTGATTTTTTAAGAGCACTAGCAATGTTTGAGCTACTGAAACTTTAGTGGAAGAATGAAAAAACCCAAACCAACAGCTACTGAACCAGCTTAGTACTGTCTTTCAGAGATTTGTTTGAATTACAACTTCTTAAAATCACTGAAGCTCTAACAAGGACTAGGTATGGTCTGATTTATTCTCTGGAACTTGCACACCAGGGCTTGGGCATTAAAAGAAACTGCATTTTGGGTCAAAATCTCATTGCTGCCTTTTGCTGTTGTACGGCCAGAGGCAAGTTAGAATCATAGGGGTAGGAAGGGACCTCTGAAGATCATCCAGCCCAACATCCCTGCTGCAGCAGGAACACCCAGGGCAGCTCACACAGGAACGTGTCCAGATGGGGCTTGAAAGTCCCTCCAGAGAAGGAGCCTCCAAAATCTCTCTGGGCAGCCTGTCCCAGGGCTCTATCACCCTCACAGCGAAGAAGTTTCTCCTCATGTTGAGGTGGAACTTCCTGTGTTGTCACTTGGTGCCGTTTCCCCTCGTCCTGTCACAGGCACCACTGAACAGAGACTGGCCCATTCCTGACACCCACCCTGCAGGTATTTATAGACATTCATCAGGTCCCCCCTCAATTCTTCTCAAGACTGAACAGCTCTCAGCTTTTCCTCATCAGGCAGATGTTCCAGTCCCTTCATCATCCTCGTATCCTCTGTTGGACTCTTTCCAGTAGATTCCTGTATCCCTGTCCATCTTGAACTGGGGAGCCCAGAACTGGACACAACACTCCAGATGTGGTCTTATGAGGGCAGAGTAGAGGGGGAGGAGAACCTCCCTTGACCTGCTGGCCACACTGTTCTTAATACATCCCAAGATGCTATTGGCTCTCTTGGCCACAAGGACACATTGCTGTCCCATGGATAACCTGTTGTCCACCAGGACTCCAAGGTCCTTCTCCATGAGGCTGCTTTCTAGCAGGTCAACCCCTGATCTATATTGGTGCATGGTGTTTCTTCTCCCCAGGTGCAGGACTCTGCACTTATTCTTGATGAACCTCACTAGGTTCCTCTTTGCCCAGCTCTCCAGCCTGTCCAGTTCCGTATCATCAGCAAACTTGCTAAGGATACACTCCATCCCCTCATCCAGGTCACTGATGATGATGCTAAGTAAGACTGGGTCCAGCACTGACCCCTGGAGAACACTAGTCACAAGTCCCCACCACTGATCACAACCCTCTGGGCTCTATTGTTTAGCCAGTTCTCCATCCATCTCACCGTCCACTCTTCTAACTCACTGAAGTTACTGAAAACTCCAGTCAGGAGTTGAACAACGTTGCCTTTAGCGATGGCCCAGTATGCCAAAACCCTCCCCGCCCAGCACAGCCAAACCCCATCCCACAGGAGATGGTGAAGACCTATGCAGTGGAACCTCCAGTGGCAGAGGACAAGATTTCAGAGTACACACACACAAACTGGCTCCACAGACCTCTCTGCAGTGACCTTCTTTCCCAACAGCTCTTACCCATCCTCAGGAGTTGCCACAGATGACAGAGGGTGAGGCACGCTCCCTGAGGTGCCCTGTGAGAGCCAGGTGGCTGCTGGAGTTGAGGCTGTCCCTTCCAGACTGGAGCTCACCAGTGATCGAGAAGAGCTCTGAGTCTAGAAAAGATAAATTAATCTGCTGTGATTGACAAAGGTAGAATTAAAGCTTAATTGCGTACACAAAAGCTGTGATTAAACATAAGCCCTCCTTGTACCACAAACACGTCTAGACCATGACTAGGCAAGTCAGCTGAGACAACCTGCTGCAGGTTCTGCAAACAGCTGGCACCAAATGACCTTGCAGTTAAGCCACCCAAAGTGAACCTGGCATGTCTTCCACCTTGAGGGATTAGGAGGGGGTGCCACGTCCATGTCCATGAGTCCATGTTGCCCAGCAGCAACCCTCCTGATGGGGGAAGACAGGACATGGTTCCTGCACTGCCCTTGAATTGCAGGCATGTGGAAAGCAGGAGACTGCTTCAGCTGTACTTGATGCAGGAAAAGCAGGTTCAATACACCAGGCTGAAGTTCACCAATCCCAGTGTACGCCCCTTGAGAGCAGCCTACACTGGATGTCCAGGGGATGTAAGAACTAAGCTCATGGCTTGGCATGACCAGCGTACTCCAGCGACCAGCCATCTCCAGTTTGATGACCTGTTAGGACCAAGGCCTTCTATACTGGGCTTCTACTCCAGGAATTTGTCTATCTCCGTTCTAAACCTGTGCCAATTTTAAGCATCTCGATCTTCCCTTCTTTACAGTGAAATCAACTGTTGTGCAGAAGTTCTCCCTTTCTGGTCTCTCCAGACCTTCATTGATCATCCCCTGGCTCCTGCACTGGAAGGAAAAGCAAACAAAAGCTACTTACACAAGCAATTTTCAGCAAATGCCAGATCTCCCTTTGCCTTTTGCCCTGCATCTGCATCACTAAGCTGTCTGCTTCCTTGATGTTATTTAGAGCCACTTCAATCTTTGGAAGCAGGTCAATGATCTTCTGCTTACAGCCCAGCAGCTTGCTGTACGCAAAACCAAACACAAAGTTACTTTTCCATCCTGTGTGGCAACATATTCTGGCAAAGAACAAAGCTCAACCTTGGGATTCAGGAAAAATTCTGTGAGAACACCACTTTCTGTTAGCACAGCACTGTAACATCTGCAGCAGCTCAACCAGGATATTTTACTGATCTTCTCATCTGTATGAGTCTCTCTGGGCTGACCATACCATAGCTAATTTCTTTCTTCATGGGACCTCCTAAGCACAAGCCACAAGGGAAAAAAAAGCTAAATAATGCTTGGCTGACTTCTGATAATGACATTTTTTTCTGAGCTCCATGGAGAATGAATCAATTAATAAACAAATCGCTGTGGCATCTTCTCAGCTGTTATACTGTTCCTTTTTTTTTTCCCCTTAAGATGTTAATCCCAACCTAAATACTGGCAGAATTTGTCTAATTCTAAAATGAACTCTTGGATGCTGGCACTACAAGGTTCCCAATTCCCTACATTTTTAAAAAGGAAGTGGAAATTCAACACAGACACAAAAGGGCAGATTTAATGTTGCCGTGAGAAATGCACCCCTGTGGACAGAGCTTTTGGGCTCTGTTCTCCATGTTTTTTCTCTCTCCTTTCTTGCTACAAAGCTACAAATGCTGCAAGTTTAATTTGTTGTTTGAGTTTTTTTCCTGCATAAAAGTACCTGAGATGGCCGAAGAGCTCCTTGAGAACTCGGTCTTGGCTCTGTACTGTCTGCACAATGATCTTCACCATGTCTGTGCTGTCACTGTAGGCATGGTCTGGAAGGAACATCAATCACCACATCAACAAACTGCTCTGGACACAATTGCCCAGAAATAATGAAACATCTTAAAACCTGTCCCAAATTCTCCTCAGGCACAGCCTTTCCTTTATGTCTCCTCTCTGCAGTAACACACCATTCCAGCCACTGTCACTGTCTAGAGTACTGTGTGTACTGGCTTCAGTCATGACTGCAGGAAGCTGCCAAACACACAAGTGGCTAAATCCTTCTTTCAACAGTTACAATGATCAGAACATCCTAACCCCCAAACATGGGATTCCATCTGGTAGAATTAAGAGAGGGAGAAGAGAGACTGCTCTGGGCTTAGAGTGATGACAGAGGAACAAGGAGATCTTCCCATGTCTGTGAGGAGAAAAGTGATGGTACCAGGGGCAGGAAAGATAAGGTAGAGAATGCCAAAAGGCAGACAGGCATTCAGGGCAGATGCTCCAAGACTGAAAACGCTTGGTTTTCAGAAGGCTCCAGGGAGACCTTAGAGCACCTTCCAGTGCCTGAAGAGGCTCCAGGAAAGCTGGGGAGGGACTTCTGACAAGGGCAGGGACGAGAGGACAAGAGGGAATGGCTGGAAGAAGGGAGATTTAGGTTAGACATGAGGAGGAAATTTTTCACTGTGAAGGTGGTGAGACACTGGCCCAGGTTGCCCAGAGAAGCTGTGGCTGCCCCATCCTTGGCAGGTGTTCAAGGGCAGGTTGGATGGGGCTTGGAACAGCCTGGGCCGGTGGGAGGTGTCCCTGCCCATCCAGGAGGGTTAGGACTAGGTGGCCTTTAAGGTCCCTTCCAACCCAAACCTAGGGCTGAAGGAACAGAACTACAGGAATCTGGGAGAGCTCTAGGTTCAGCA